CAAAAATCCCCAAACCACCAGAGGCTTGGCCAGTCCTCCACAAAATGCCTCCAGAAAGACCCATTGTTTGTGACTAACAGCGAAAGCTATAACATAGCGGAATTCCTGGACCACCATCTTAATCATCTCACTAATATGCATGCCAGTGTAACCGTCATTTTTAGATTTTTGTATTATGTGCATGCTTTTACTTCCAGTTTTATTGTTCATTAATCATCGTTTGCATGTTTTTATTATCTGTGTGTGGTGGTTAATGTAGTATTGCAGATGCGGTTTTATTTTTTTACCTACCTTATATTTTGAGTGTGAGATGTGATAAGTGAGTGTCTAATGGTGCTTCTCATTAGGGTCAACAGGTGCGTCCTGGAATTGACGGCAGGTGTGCCGCTCGACCCCTTTAAAGAGTCTGGTGTGGTACAGGGGAGGGCGCGCGGCAGTTGGAGCAGCACGAAGTGGAGGTGGACAGGCAGACTTTTACTAGTATTGTGACCGGTTGTTTTAAAAAAACTTTTAGAAATCCGTCTGCGGTTTGGCTTTTCAGTACATTGGTTAGTGAATTATCCTCGTGGCAGAAATACCCTCGTTTCCTTTGTCCTTCTTGGCCCAATCTGGTCTCCTTTTTCATTTTTAAAAAGAGCTCCACCTTTTTACTGTGATTTGACGGCTTTGCAAAATCTGAAACTACTTTTTTAGATTCAGTCATTTTAGACATAGTTATGTTGAGGTTGACTCTTTTTAACTTGTGATTCAGAGTGAAATACATTGTATTTTAAATTCATTTGAGTTGTCTGCTACACATTACCACCTCGCCGAGGGAGCACCCTAAAATCACATATGATTTCATCCTAAAAGTGCGAGCCATATTCCTGGAAATTCCATTTTAGCTCTTCACTGTGGATGTTGAAAGCCTCTACACTAGGGGTGCCCAATAGGTCGACCACAATCGACCAGTCGAAGGCAGTGCCAATAGATTGCCGGCCATCGCTAAAAATCACGTCACGCATGCGAGATCGATGGCGGGAGCTTACTAAAACTAGCGACCGTTGCTTACTAACGGGCTTTTAATATCATTTAAAAGCAACCCAGGCTTTTTATTGACCAGAAAAGACTTTGACTTTGACGGCCAACTATACCTTCAAATAAAGGGCATTGCCATGGGCAAAACGTTTGCCCTTGCATATGCTGGCATTTGCATGGCCACCTGGGAGGAAAACATCATGTGCCCAAAAGCCAATCACTTCCAATTAAGATTCCTGAGAAGCAATTCAGAGCTTAGGATAAAATTATTTCAACGTTTATATGGAATGGCCAAAAGCCAAGAATCAAATATGAAGCATTACAAATTGGAAAAAATGAAGGGAGAATGTCACTACCAAACCTCAGGTCATACTTCCTGGCCCCTCAAACTAGACCAATGATATACTGGTGTACCAACGATTACCAAGCAAAGTGGAAAAATCTAAGTTTCTGTAGAAGGAAGGGAAAAACAAAGCCTTATTGGAGACAGACGTATGGCAAAACATCTACCCCATATGGGTATGGGTATATATGTGTGTGTATATGTATGTGTGTATATTGAATTGAATTTGAATTTATTTTTTCGAACGTTTATAAAAGGGAACAAAATGTTACTACTTGTACACACAAAGAAAATACAAATTATTCCAAAAAAATAGAACAAAGAGCTAAGACACAACAGAAAAAAAGAAGTGGGAAGAAGCATGACACTTATTTGATGTCCCACCCGTTTTCAACTGCTCTTCAGCCTGTACCCACACAGAATACTACATAATACACCTACATACCACGCATACACTTCACAAATATCCAATCACAAAAACAAACATACACCACATCCCTGCAAACACACCTATAACAAGTGTGTATATATATATTTATATACATATACGTACTTACACTAAGAATAATAATAATATTTATTTATTTAATAATAATGATATACCATATACATTATATATACTAAATGCAATATAACATATATATAGTGCTGAGTAGTTATACCAATCACCTTCTCTCTTCTTCACAGTACCTGTTGAGAATCACCAGTTTGAGTCTTTTTTTTAAACAGAGTCTTGCTTGGACTTTACTTCAGCTCTTTTTTTCCAGACCTTCACACCACTAACTGAAATGCACATTCTCTTTATGGTGGTTCGAACCCTCAAGGTTCTGAAGTTAAGGTTTCCCCTGTAATCATAGCCCCCCCACTCGATCAGTAAACAGTTTTTGCATGTTATCTGGTAGTTGTTTATTTCTAGCTTTTATACATCAGCATAGCTGTTTGAAATTCTACTAGATCTGGCAGTTTGAAGAAGCAGGACTGTATAAATAATAAGTTAGTATGGTCGTGGAATCCTGCCTTATGAACCATTCTAATGGCTCTTTTTTGTAATGTACATAACGGTCGCAGCAGGGTTTTATAGGTGTTGCCCCATACTTCCACACAGTAACTCAAGTAAGGCAAAATAAGTGAGCAATATAGAATATGTAGTGCAGCATAATTTAGAAAATTAGCTTTGCTGAGAATAGCAATAATTCTGGATATTTTAGACTGAATGTATTTAATATGCGGTTTCCAGCAAATCTTATGGTCTACCATCACTCCCAAAAACTTAATTTCATTAACTCTCTCCACCGACACATTATCTATTAGGATTTGCAAATTTGTTTTACTTTAGCAATTACTAAACAATATAAACTTGGTCTTTATCCAAGTTTAATGATGAGACATGGTTTGATATGAATAAATTAAGTTGACATAACTCTAAATTGATTTCAGACGAAAGCTGCTGCAAATTATCACCTGTACAAAAATATTAGTATCATCTGCAAACAAAACAAACTTAAGTATTTTAGAAACTTTACTGATGTCATTAATATAAAGAATAAACAGTTTTGGTCCCAATACTGACCCCTGGGGGACACCACAAACAATGTCCAATCAAGATGACTGGTGGTCACCCATTTGCACAAATTGTTGCCTGTTACTTAGATAGCTTTTCATCCAGTGCAAGACTACTCCCCTGATTCCATAGCGCTCTATTATATATATATATATATATATATATATATATATATATATATATATATATATATATATATATACACGTGTGTGTGTACCCTGTCTGCTCCAGGCAGGCTCCTCTGCAGTGCTGCTAGCAGGCAGCCATCAACTGTGGGAGGCACAATAGGGGGTGGAGCAGGATGAGCGACTGCTGATGGAATGTCCGCAGCTGTTTGTCTCTGCAGCTGGGGCGGGAGACAGTGAGCCGAGCTACCGTCTAGTGGCCCCTGCTGCTCTGTGTCTCTTCTGGCCAGAACTTGGGCTTCCCTCCGAGCTGCACCGCCTCGACGGTGACGTCAGACAACTCCTGAGCTGTCAGTCGCAAGGATTGCTAAACAGAATTAGCATTAGTTTGCTTCCTCTGCAGCCATTCGTGTCCGTGCGTTGACTTTGCATGGAATCCGCTTGCGTGAATATAATGCAGCATAAGACTTTGGCAACCTTGTCGAGGCGTACTTTGGCTGGGCCGTACCGGTTCAACTGCTATGCCGGCATCCGATTTCTTTTCACATACCGCCGTACCAGTGTATATCCGTAACAACTCATGTGGATCTTTGGCAGGCAGCAGACTTTATTTTTACACCTGATGAAAAATGTGTGTGACAAAGGAAAACGTGTTCAAACCATTTGCAAGAGAAGACTTCTGCTGTGCCAAGAATGTAATGATGATGAATCGGTTTTGTCTGAAACTGTGGCACACGCACACTATCTCACCGTGGCAACACCTGTAGGAGCAGCGAGGCCTACGGTGGACGGGTCGGCGCCTCCTGGTGTGTTTCCCTCTGTGTTTGGTGGTTTGGTGCCCCCCTGGGTTGGAACCCCCACATGAGCGTGTGTGGGTTTGTATAAGATTTTGGGTCCACGTGTGCTTCCGGTGCCATCTTTTTATGTTTACAATAATTGAATCACTGTTTTAAATTGTTGACTATTACAGTAATAAAGATTGACTTTCTGTAACGGAACCACGTCTATGCTTGTTTAGTATAAGAAACCCTTTGGTTTTTTGATTCTTTAGGGGAAATCCATATCGTGGCTTTGCTGTGCTCCTAATACAAATGGTTAATATTGTCAAATTATCTAAACGTTGCACCCTCCTATTGCCATGATTGTATTGTCTTATAAACGTCATATTACAGGCGACGTATACAAACACGGTAAACTTCTGTATGGCACGCAGCATATTAGGAGTACCTATCAGGTACTATAGCGTTGAAGAATCTGAATCTCCAGTGTTCAGCGGGTGTTTTACTGAAAGGTCCTGGTCTCTGAGGGTGTGTGTGTGTGTGTGTGTCCTCACCACACAAGTCAGAGTTAGAGAATATTAAAACTGCAAAGAATTAATCCACAACAAACCAGAAAACATGGAGCAGCTAGCAAGGGAAATAATGAAATGCTCCAAATAATGAAGCATCCAGCACCGCCTCCACCCCCACCCTCTACCACATGCAGGACTTAAAAGGTCAAGGAGGTTTTGCAAGGATACTGGAATCCCCTGGGTCAGTGACCCCCAGTCACCAGGCTGTGGACCTACCTGGTGGTTCGAAGACAATAAATAACCCTATCTTTTTTTTCTGAAAATGTTTTATTTTGAATAACGTGGGCTTGTCCCTCTTGACGCTTGTCACATGATAATTACCGGCACACCTTGAAGACTGGTCCGCAAGGGAAAAAAGGTTGGGGGCCGCTGCCCTGGGTGATAACACCAGTTCAAAGGTTCAAGGTTCCTCAGTGCGAAGGACGGCTTCCAGCTGTGGCATGAACCTCGTATCAGCGTAAAGAGTGAATTTAGTTTTGGTTTAGTTGTCAAAGTCTGTACGGTTCAGTTCAACATCTTTAAACTGGGAAGTTTATTCTCCCGCTAACAGAACTGCCATAATGAATGTGTAAATCATTATTTTAAGTATTGATTGGCCAGATGGACATTTGTATTGTCATTTATTCACAGAACTGGAGTCCAGTAGTAAAATAATCAGGTCACATTACATTTCTTTTCTCCTCTTTAGAAACCACCACCGAACAAGCAGATAAATAGTGTGATATTCCTCTTGAAAGTGCACAAAACATTTGGTAGCAAAAACACCTGAGAAAAGCTTGCTTGGCACAAGACAACAGCACAGAGGTGTTCCCATATAAATCCTCCATTAGATCTCCTGACCCGGACACGTCTCACCGACCAAAACGGCATTATTTTGAATCATTTCATTTCATTTCATTTGAAGTCGCAGTCGAGAACCGTTTCTCGTACTCTGAAAAGTCATCTGCTATGCAAATTAAAAATCGCAGAGGTTTTACAGGTTTCAAAAATAACTGTTCATTATAAAAAAATAGATTGGAGAAGTGAACGTGTTAAGATGAAAAGGAAATACTGCAGACACTAACATGACATGGGCCCATTCTGCAAATGTAGGCACGGATAACCGCTCAGGTACGTGTTGAAAACATCAAGAAAAATAAATCCGCTTAGTCCGATTGTTCCCTAACAGCAGGACCATTCACAGTGGAAGAAAATGGAATAATGATAATCCTAAAAATATATGTGTGTTGTCCCGTATCTTAAGCGAAAGGGGCAACATGTACAAAATAGCTCGGTTTGTCTTCAACAGGATATACGTGGTCTTAATTGGAGGCCATCCTCTCCTCCCCGACACAAAACGGCCCCATAGTTGGTTCGTGCAAGCCGCCTTCTGATAACCCATGGCTACTCTTATTGTTAGCTGGTGGTAGTAGTTAGGCCCATAAAACCACAGGACTTTGACTCAGGAGACCGGGTTTGGGTTATCTTAACACCGGGGGCGCCCACACCTTTTCGGCTGGCGAGCTACTTTTCAATCGACTAAGTCATGGCGATCTAAACAGTCTCACCCTCAAACCCCCGCAGATATAGAGTTGTGGCGGGAGGGCTGGAAGAAAAAATCAATTGTTGAATAATTAGTAAAAATGTTTAGCAACTGTTTTCAGTCCAATAAACCTAAAACAACTCTTGGAATGCAATTCTGTAAGAAAAGTCTGGCAATGGAGTCAACTTAAGATTGTTTTTGTAGAAGCATGACATTTAAATGTGCAGTTTAAATGAACTCTGGTAATTTCACTTATATTGAGAATGAAAACTCTGATCTGAAAATTACCTCGACCCCCATGGTGTAGCGCTCAGATTTTGTTACTTTATCCTTTGGGAAAACCATGTTGCACCCTTACGCATCAACTACTGGGCCAACATGGCTGCATCTCATTCAAATCAATGGCACAAGCCGACACGATGAAGCCACTATACGGGAATTTGTCGATGTTTGATTGGCTGTGGTTTTCCTCATCTGACAATATCTAAGTACATACACTTGCATTGGATATATACGTTGGACCCCACATGAGTGGATGTGGACCAAAGACCCGGTTTGAGCTGCGTCGGGTCCCGTGGTCTGTTAGAAGTGGTGAACGTAGCCCCGATATGGCTGCTACAAGGTGGGCTGCAGCAGTTCTCGTGCTTCCATCTGCTTGATGGAGAGGCCCAGTTTGTTTGTTTTTTATTCTTGGAATCCTGAGAAGAGGAGTACAATGCGTATCCTCCATTTGATGATTAGAAGGCGGTTGATGAGTGGTTGTAATTAATGGTCCTTGTTAACTGGCTGTGTTTTTCCAGGTGATGGGAGTGCAGCCTTGGTTTAGAGCTTCGGATGCTCTCAGCGCGTCTTCCGGTAGTAAACAAGAGCTACCACCAATGCTACCGATGCTACGATGGCCACATTCCTCCATCGAGAAAACCCGTTGATCACGCCCACCTGAAGAAATGGAGAATGGAGACTCAGGGCTGTAGAGCATATGGTCGAGTCCTGAAAGCCTTAAAGCAACATTTCTAATGAATATCACTCACCCAGCCGCCCTGCTGCACGAGCCAGGGGTAGAGTCGCTCCCTGATGAACCGCAGAACCCAGCCGATTATTATCCTGATGTTCTCGAGGTGGTTGGTGGTCAGTGCCTTTACAAACAAAAGCAGAGGCGACGGTGATTGACGTGTTGACGAATGTGCAGGAATGAAATCTAAAAGGCTACGAGGCTTAAAATTCTGAATGTGGTTGTTTTGCACTCAAGAAGTAACAAAGATGATTGGTGCTAGAGACTGCCTGTGCGTGCTACAAAACACAACCAAGCGACTGCGGCCCCCTTGTGAGCCTCCCCTGGTTCTGGCTGTTACCCTGTATATGAGCCGGTAGGCCAGATGGAACAGAGCCACCACTCGACCCCAGTTGATGCCATCGTCGAAGATGCTTTTGGCGACCTTCATGAAGATGTCCTGAGCACAGTTGCCCGGAACCTGGCTGATCAGTCTGACGAGGAAGAAACAGACTCAATTTTTTTATTTGACCCCCACATACGTTCTTATCGAGCTCCACTTGGTGCTGAAACTAACCCACAGCAACACCTCCGCCAATGTTTCCTCCATCGGTACCGTTAATTATCATTAACTATTAACATTAATTACCATTTTATAATACGGGTAGATGAAATCCAGCGTTCTGATTGGTTGGGAGTGAGTCACGGGGGCTAGATTATAATGCGATAATGTACAGTTGCTGTTCACATCGACCCGAGCGTTCCGTATCACTGCTCACTCAAAGTTACAGGTTAGCTTTAGCGCGACCGTTAGCTGACATTTTAGCTTTTAGCTCGGTGGCGATCGCCGAAATAAGACCTGGAAATCCCACAAATGATCAGTTTCGGGCAATGTGAGCTTTCGCAACGGGACAATTTAAGGTGGACGTCATGAGCGATGTGAATGCATGAGATGGTGCGGGACCCTGCGCTGTTTGCATGCACGTACCAGGACTATTTTTTTCTCTAGATACACAACGTTTGGTGGCCTGTTTACTATTTAAAATTTCGCTGGTAACCGTATTATAAAAGCAATAAGGTACTTGAGGCAGTACTTTATCTTCAATAATGTAACACACACAATACAATACTGTTACATTGTTGGAGGATGAAGTGCAGCCTCTCGTACTGTACAGCTTCTTTTGAAACCAGGTGATATATTTGACGAGACGGACCAGATGTGCAATTTAGTCTGACGGCTGAAGCACCATTACGGCCCGGCGGCAGTGGGCCGCCACCTACTGGTCGAGCTGCATCTCTCATCTCTGACTGTTCCAAATGTCCTTTTTGTCACCACCCGCCAGACGTTTATGCCAAAATTGAGGAAACTCCCTTAAAAGCCGGACCAGAAGGTCCCGACCCCAAAAACGTAATGCCTTGACTAAAAAAATAAAAAGGTTGACTCACTATGGTAGAAACTATGAAGGAGTATTTGACAATAACTGGGGTTTGGACGAGGTGCCCCGACGTACCGTTGGAGCTCGGCGTTCCTGTTCATCTCATCTGCAATCTTCATTAGCTGCTTCACCACTTCTTTGATTTGCGGATCCTGATGTTCATTCGGGCGTCCTCCCAGTTGTTCAGGCGACACGTGCCGACTGGGGTCTTCTGCGTTTATACGTGACACCACGTACCTGCGACGGAGAAGACGAGGATATGCCACAAATCCAAAATGTTGTAATTCGTGGCACGGCTTTCACAATGTGTTTGGGAAAAAAAAGGCTACAAAATGTTTTGTTCAACTGATGGAAATGTTCACTTCTCTCTCCTGAGATCACGCATGCTCTCAGACTGTTGTGTAATTGTGTAATTATTCAAGTAATGATGCGACTCACCCTCTGAGAACCACTGCTCCTTGCTCCATGATGGGATCATCGACCACATCTAGAACAACCAGCAGACTTTTTAATACCCATAATTACCATTTAGGGTTTGTTTGAATGTAGAGAACCGATGTGTCACATTATCCAAAATAGAAACACAGCTGGCCCATGTTATTGTGGGAAGGTGTGTTGTTCTAAACTAAACATGTTGATTTACGGTTGTTTTGCAATTTCCAACAACTCCGAACTTTTTTTTTTTTTACAAATACTTTTACTACAATTACAAATATTCTTCGTATGACGTCACCGACCCGACACCATCTTCGGCAGTCGAAACGTTGTTCTAACATTCGCTCACGACTCGTTCCAGTTGTTCCCCAGATAAAGACGCGGTGGCCCCGGAACCAGCCGCCGGACTCCGGCGTCTTTATTACCTTGTTTTTGTCACCGGCCGCACGTAACACACACGAGCGGACGCGAGGCCTCCGCGCTTCCCCCCAAAACGGACGCATTCGGTCGGCATCGTTTCACACCGCCGCCCGCTGGTCCTCGCCGACAGACCGCGCTTCTCTCGCCGACATTAAAGCGGTTTAAGTGCACCGGAGGGGCAGAATAAGCGTGTAACAAGCGTGTAATACACACTTAATGGAAGAATTACACTTGGCAGCTAGCTCCGGCTAAAGGGTTGGTGACCGAGGTCTCCCCTCTGAGAACACCGTACTTCATTACGGTACTTTAGAAAAGTTATGGAGCAGAGTACCGAGGCCTCCCTCCCTCCCTCCCCCGCGGCCCGAGGTCACCGAGAGCACCGCAGCAGACGCCCCGCGTCGGGCTTCGGTTTCGGTTCAGGGTGGAGCGACGTGAAGCAGCCCGGGGCCCCGCCGGCTCGCGACTACAGACCGCCATTCCAACGCGTCCGCTCCTTCCACGGAGCGCGGAAAGGAGCCGCCGGGGCTGCGCGCACCCGGGGCGGCTTGGCTTCACGTACCTTCCCCGCCCTCGGCGCCCCGAGGTTCCCGGTCTCCGTCGTCTTGCTTTTCTCTCCCGCCGTCGGCCATAACTTCCCAAAACGTCGGTCGGCGCGGCTCTCGGAGGGGGCGATGGGCGACGCTGTTACGGGGGTTTCTTCCCCGGGGTGGCGACCGCGAGTTTGGCGGAGTCGAAGTCACAGAAGTCCGGACGCCGGGCCGGTCGGTCCCATGAAAAGTGTTCGTCTTCTGCGCAAGAACAAGGAAATGAGGCGGAAGCGTGCGGACGTTCCTCCTCCTCCTCCTCCTCCTCCTCCTCCTCCTCCCTCTGCCGGGCAAGAGCCAGAGACCTCACCCGCATTTACGGGAAACCCGACAGACAATCACACGCTCCTTGAATACAACGTGTCCAAATGCAGAGCTGTAAAAACACCAGCCTGCCTTTCATTCAGTCAGATTACATTGAACCAACTATATAGGATACTTTAACGGTAAAAGAGTTAAATATCTTTGCCTCCATGAGCATTTTAAACGGGAGTAAGTAATGCAAAGTGGTCTGTTATCATTCAACTTTAAAACAGGTGAATTGTGCCCTTTCACAAGATAGTTCAGAAAGCAATAGTTTGTGTCACATCTGAACATCAACAGTTATAACAAAATCCCATTCAAGAGTTTGATACAATTATGTTCCGAGTGCATTCGTGTGCTTTAGGCTTCTCGCTGTAGTGAGAGATGTTACCATTCAAAACACCCCATTTCAGATTGATCAAGGAACCGATAACCTGCTGCACTAAAGGGTGGTACCGAGATCTAGATTTCAGCAAAGAGACCAGGTCTGACTTGAGAGCCGTGGTTGAGATGCGTAAGATGTTGTTGGTCATCAGTGTTCACGGAGAAGCAAGATGACCTTTTGAATAACTGATACGCCCCAAAGAGCTGTTGCATAATTCCTCATATGTGCACCATTCTGTGGGAAACAATGTCCTTTTCAAAGAGGGGAGGTGCAGGCCTCTGTTTGGGACAAGTGTCTTTGAAAAGGTTGCAGTCAGGTTCCAAAGGCCTTGATGTGAGTGAACATTCAGATGCTTCCAGCCATACGGGATCCCGACCCCCGACTAAGCCACCTCACATTGCTGTGGTACACGTCCCCATATTCCGGATGTCATGCAAGAACCGCTGAAACTGCCGGTGCTCTAGAGCTTCAGAGCGAATAGAATGCATTGTCTTTGTCATAACATAACACAAATTTGAGATGTTTGGCGCAGAGAGCCTGCTGGTGAATGATGCAGTGAAGTTTAATGGCATTACCTGCGTCTTCGCTGACGTTATCACGGATCAGTGTGGACATTTCACTTTGCTCACCAGCCATAGCGCGGTAATGATCCCAGAAGCTTCTCCATGGTAGTTTCATCATCATCAACAGCTTCACAAACAGAAACAAATAAATCGCTTCCTCCGGTTTGCTCTTTGAGGCTTTTGAGGTGGAGCAGCTCCTCTGACATGTTCATGTGCACTTATTGTAAGTGGCTTTGGATAAAAGCGTCAGCTAAATGACATGAAATGCAATGTGATGTTGTCATCAACTCCCGAGTAGTCGTGCAGAGTCAGATGCTTTCGTCGCAGGCTAATGAGAAATAATCAAAAGCCACTTCTCGGCCCCCCAAGGATGAATCGGGAAAGGTGTTCTCGACGACACTGAGAGCACCCAGCCGGATGCTGTGAATACATGAGTTCATTCTCTGTGTCACAGCTAACAACACAAAACACCAAGTCCTTCTGCCGTTCATTGTCCCCGGAACACGTTTGAGCTTCATGGCTTTGAGATGGAGTGCCTGAAGTTCACGAACCCCGGTTGAACTCGCCTGGATCTTGAAAATAACATATTGAAAATTCAGTTGGTTCCACCACACGGTGGCGCCGACGAAGCACATACAGAACTCTCAGGTGCGTGTACGGTTTGATAGTCCCTTTTACCGTAAAAAACAGAAAACGAAAACACTCGTTTCTCGTTTTTCGTTCTAAATCCAAAACGGTACAACGGAAGTGGACAGTCGTTTTCTCGTTTTTCGTTTAGAACCAAATAACGAGACAAACTCACAACTTTTTGGTCCGTTAATCCCTTTGGGGGTTTTGCCCATAAAACGAAAATACGAAGCGGAGCCGCTAAACCGGAAGTACGTAGATTTTCACAGTAAGAGTCAACGCAATGGAACGTTTGTATGCTAAAAAACCGTCTGCGATGCCAGCGGTTAAAAGTTAATTAATGGATGTGAATAAATAATCCTGGTCCGACGGGATGTGTTAGCACCAATAGTTGACAACACGCACACTCGTTGCTCTTGGATCAGATATTTGTCTTACTCGCATTGTGTCAGTGAAGGCCGAGCAGAGACAGTTCAAGGAGACGCAGAGTAAACGTACGATGTATTTAAACCATTGATTTATTTCTATTTAACTGTGTTTAAGTTATTTATGAAGGGTATTACGGATGTATTTAATGCTGGACATTTGGTTTCTTTATATATAATAATTATTTGTCACACTTCAATCCTGAATGTTAACCGAAGAGATCAAAGGATGAGAAGATCTAATGTTGGTCTGTGTTCCAAAGAAAATTACTTCAGTTTTATTGCCGTCAGATTTGTTACTATTTTGAAAAAAATAAACCTTTTAGTTATCACTGATTGTGTCCATGTTAGTTCCCCCTCAAAGGTTCCTTGTATGTCTGACATGCAGGACATTGACAATAAAGCTACTTTGACTTTGACTTTGAAAGGCAGATTTTAGGGCAGCTTCTCGATTGCACAGAGACATTTTTTTCCAAGAGAAAATAATTGTTAAACATTAAATTCTTATTTTAAGGAAGAGTAGTAGTAGTTACTGGGCCAGCGAAGCCAGATGCATCAGAGTGAAGAGGTGGACTCACCAACACAAGTGTCACACTTTGGCACCAACTAAGTGCTCGGGATCAGGAAGCTGCAGAGATGCAATGTGCTTTACGGATGTTATTGTACTGCTGGACAGTGCCGTCAATAAATTGCCACAATTTTTGAAGAGTGACTAAAATGCCTGATTGGTGTTACAAAACAACATTGTCAGCACTTGTTATATTTATCTCTTTCTTCTACTTGTAAATAGATCAAATATAGAATGTGAAATGATGCCATGGCCACCATGTTTCCCTGTTGGCATGTTGTGCTCAGTGTTGGGTGTCCACCACAGCGTTTGGCATTGAGGCCAAAAAGTTCACTTTTGGTCTCATCTGACCAGAGCATCTTCTTCCACGTGTTTGCTGTGTGTCTCACATGGCTTGTGGAAAACTCCCAACGGCTTTTTTCTTGCCACTCTTCTATCAAGGCCAGATTTATGGAGTACACGGTTACTAGTTGTCCTCTGGACAGATTCTGTCCCCCTCCAGAGATACCATGTGACTCCTCCAGTGTCCTCAGGCTAAATGTGACCTGTGGCTTTGGTGACCTGACGGTGGGATCGATCCACAGCTCCAGAGGTCACTCTAAGGGTCACTTAGCAAACATGGAGGCAATGACGAAAAGAGAATGAATTCATTTCTTTATTGTTCTAGTGAGAAAAATTAAAAAATATTCTAGAGTCAAAATGTCTGAATACCATCAAGTCAGTAATTTTTCTTATACCGCAGCATTTGAGCAACATTATTTCTTATCATGAGGACCCTTTGACCTCTTGGGCCTAACCGTTCGATTTTGGATGGAAGCGTGACGAATAAACCATAATTAATGAAAATAAAGGTCTCTGCCATTACTTATTGCTTAATAAACACATGTTAAACAGAATATTCACAAAAAGTTCAGACAGAAAAACCTTAAAAATGTAAAATGCACTTCAATTCACAAATAATGACTACATTACATTACAGGTCATTTAGCAGACGCTTTTATCCAAAGCGACTTACATTACACTTTAAACCCATGGCCTTTAGCCATTTAGTGCTGCGAGGAGAAGAGCCGTGGAAGACAACCCGAAGAGCCCGAAAGGAATCGTATGTTGCTGGTAAAACGCCTCATAGCAGAAACCTGTGATTTTACCAATTCATTCAAAGTCAGTGTCCTCTAGCATGCAAGTTTCTCAAAGTTGCACATCTGGTTTGTGACCTGGAGGCTTGATGATGCTCTACTTTACCTAAAACTCTTGAAGCATGTAACGTTTTGCACGAGGTTCGACCACAGTGCTTTTTTCCATTTAACTAAAAGGTGCACAGACTGAAGATCTTTCCACCCCGAGACTCGAGAACTCAACCCTCTAACGTAAAGGACTCGAAGCTGCTGCTGTGTTCCCCAGGGCTTCATCTCGCACAGCAGGGGACAGACTTCATCAGAGCACGCGGGTGCTGCGTTCAAGGACTGTTACAACTCTCCGTAATTTTAAATTACCTTGGAAACTCGATTGGCGGCTCGAGCGCTCAGAAAATGTGTATCGCTATGTCATATAATAGCAATATAAATCATTTAAATAAATGCTTTGATACTTTAATCAATAGTCACTCTGTACGTGGGTGGACCAAAACCAAAAAGAGATGCAGGAACATATCAATGTAGAAATGGATCTATCACTATCGCCAGGTACTCAGGATCAGGTTATATATTCATTTCCAAGTGCTATCAACTAAACATGACTGTGGTGGAGGGGCGTGGTTAGCTCAGCTGCAGGGGGGAGAGCGGGGGAGTGGTTCAGGGGACGGTGCTGGTAGGTGAGGAGTAACCAGGTGTAAATGATCTGCACTGATTGTCTTCTACATAAGCAGTGAGCAGGATCCAGGTCGGGAGATCGTGAGCAGAGCAGAGCGGAGCACGAGAGCTGAGCTGAGCGGAGCCGGACAAAACGAAACCGACCATGCCCATAGAGCGACCTCATTCCTGCTCACTGCCTTCCCCGTTTGGACAATAAAGACTGGTTACCCTCATCCTGTGTCCGTGCGTCTGTATAGAACCCGTCGGTGGTAGCGCTAGCACGGCTACAGTGGCGCCTGGCCAGGGATGGACGCAAACGACCACGGAGAGGGCCTGATGGAGCCGGCGGTCGCGCTCGGACGGATGCTGGGGGAGATCGCCGCGATGCAGCGCGAGCAGGCCGAGGCCAACCGGCACGTCCTGGGGGCGCTGCAGGCTGCTGCAGACCGGCAAACCCAGGTACTGGAACAATTAGCAGCCCGACCAGTCGCTTCCCCGACGGTGCCGGGTCCCTCGGCGTATGCGGGCGTGGTGGTGCACAAAATGACCCCGGAGGACGACGTGCAGTCATATCTGGAGATGTTCGAGGCGATGGCGGGGGCGTGTGGCTGGCCGGCGGACGAGTGGGCGATCCGCCTCCTGCCGCTCCTAACCGGGGAGGCGCAGACAGCGGCCCTGGGCCTGCCTCCCGGTCCCAGGCACATCTACGCCAGCGTGAGGAAGGCCATCATGGACCGACTGGGGCTCTCCCCCGAGGACCATAGGAGGCGGTTCCGAGAGGCGAGGCTGGGGCCGGGGGACCGCCCGTTTGCGTTTGCCCAGCGACTCGCAGACGCGGCCAACAGGTGGCTGCAGCCGGAGGGCGCGGGAGGGGCGCCGGCGGTGGTGGAGAAGGTGGTGACAGAACAGTTCCTGGAGGGTCTTCCGCCGCGGACGGCTGCCTGGGTCCGCTACCACCGGCCGGCGACGCTGGAAGCCGCCGTGACCCTCGCCGAGGACCACCTGGCGGTGCACCCCGGGGGCCGTGGGGAGGGCGGTCGGCCGACCGCATCGACGCAGCCCGTTCCCGCGCCACGACGGAGTTCCCCGCTTCCTGTTGCGGCTCGGCCCCCTCCGTCCCAGCGCGCCCTAGCCCCTCAACGGGGTACTGATCCACCCGGCCTGGCCGGCACCCTCCCTGACCTACAGAGGGCTCCTCAACCGCCAGGGCAGGAGTGTTGGAGGTGCGGGCAGGCCGGACACTACCGGCGGGAGTGCCCGCTAATGGAGGTAGGCCAAACGGTACGGGTTGCCGGGCCTCCAGCACCCTCCCCCGGTCTGGGAGCGACGTACAGCGTTCCGGTAAGGATCCAGGGGGGTATACATCAGGCGATGGTGGACTCTGTGCGCACGCAGTCCATGATCCACCAGAGACTGGTTCGACCCGGGGCATTGGTGGAGGCATCCCGGGTGAGTATTAAGTGTGTGCATGGGGATATTCACGACTACCCAGTGGTCCCGATAGAGATTAGGTTTGGGGGTAAAAAGCATAGAGTAAGGGTCGCGGTTAGCTCCCGCCTGACGCACCCCCTGATTTTGGGGACAGACTGGTCGGGGTTTCATAGGTTAGCGGGGCAGTGCGCGGGGGTGCGTTCGCGACCGGTAGGGACATGCGGGGTGTGTGCGGCGCTCGGCGGTGACGCGAGGTTGTCCGACGCTGCAGACGGGGAGGGGGAATCGGCGGGGCCTCCTATGGGGACGCCGCCGATGCCAGAGCTACGCTCCATGGAAGATTTTCCACTGGAGCAGTCTCGTGATGATACTCTACGCTTTGCCTTCGACCAAGTGATGCAAATTGATGGTCAAGTGGTGCGCCCCGACGCCGTATTATCATACCCGCACTTTTCACTGATTAGGGACAGGCTATACAGAGTGAGTCGCGACACTCAGACAGGGCAGGAAATTACGCAGTTGTTGGTACCGAAAAGCCGCCGGGAAACGGTTTTCCAGGCGGCTCACTATAACCCGATGGCGGGCCACCTGGGTAGCGACAAAACTCTGGACCGGATAGTAGCCCGATTTTACTGGCCAGGCATCTGGGCGGATGTGCGCCGCTGGTGTGCATCCTGCCCACAGTGCCAGCTGGTGAACCAGCCGGCCATCCCGAAAGCGCCGTTGCGTCCGCTGCCGTTAATGGAGCTGCCGTTCGAACGCTTAGGTATGGACCTCATCGGGCCATTTCACCGGAGTGCACGGGGGTATCGCTTTGTGTTGGTTCTGGTGGATTACGCAACCCGATATCCCGAGGCAGTGCCGTTGCGCAGCATCTCCGCCAAGAATGTTGCGCAGGCGCTGTTTCAGGTCATCTCCCGAGTCGGAATCCCGAAAGAGATTCTGACGGACCAGGGCACCTCGTTCATGTCACGCACACTACGAGAACTGTACGAATTGTTGGGGGTTAAGTCCGTTCGGACCAGTGTGTACCATCCCCAGACTGACGGCCTGGTGGAGCGGCTGAACAAGACACTGAAATCCATGATTCGTAAGTTTATTCACGACGATGAACGCAATTGGGATAAATGGCTTGACCCTCTGTTGTTTGCAGTACGGGAGGTCCCCCAGGCCTCCACGGGATTTTCTCCCTTCGAGCTGCTGTTCGGCAGGAGACCACGGGGGGTGCTCGACCTGCTTAAGGAACACTGGGAGGAGGGTCCGAGCCCCGGTAAGAACGAGATTCAGTACGTCCTGGACCTGCGAGCCAAACTCCACACACTGGGTGAGTTGTCACGTGAGAATTTGCTCCAGGCCCAGGAACGGCAACAACGGCTGTACAACAGAGGGGCCAAGCTGAGACAATTCACACCGGGAGAGAAAGTGCTTGTATTACTTCCTTCTTCCAGCTCAAAACTACTCGCCAAGTGGCAAGGGCCCTTTGTGGTCACACGGCGGGTAGGGGACGTCGACTACGAGGTGGTGCGATCTGACAGGGGGGGAGCCACGCAGATCTACCACCTCAACCTCCTGAAAGCATGGAGAGAGACTGAGTCCGTGTCCCTGGTGTCTGCAGTAGCGGAGAGCGAGGAGCTGGGGCCAGAGGTCCCAAAGTCCACCGATCCCACCCGGCTCCCGTCCGACGCCCGTCTCTCTGCAGCCCAGCAAGCGGACATAGCCCGGTTGCAAGATCAATTTAATGATGTGTTCTCCTCCCGGCCAGGTCGCACGGACCTCATAGTGCATCACATTGAGACGTCCCCGGGCGTGACTGTGCGGACGCGGCCCTACAGGTTACCTGAACACAAGAAGAAAATGGTTCAGCGAGAATTGGCCGCTATGCTGGAGATGGGGGTAATAGAAGAGTCCAACAGCGCCTGGTGCAGCCCCATTGTTCTTGTCACCAAGAAGGATGGCTCAATAAGGTTCTGTGTGGATTATCGCAAGGTGAATGCGGTCTCACGGTTTGACGCTTACCCGATGCCCCGGGTCGACGAACTCCTACGGTATCTGGGGTACCACTTGGGCGGCGGGCGGGTGCGCCCGCAGGTGGACAAGACCGCAGCCATTGCAGCCTGCCCGCGGCCCAAGACGAAAAAAGAGGTGAGGCGGTTTTTGGGGCTGGCAGGTTACTACAGGAGGTTCATCCCGGGCTTTGCGGAGCTGACCAGCCCCTTAACTGACCTGACCCGGAAAGGTGCCTCAGATCCGGTCCAGTGGACGGAGCGGTGCCAGTGGGCGGTTGAGGGGGTGAAACGAGCCCTCTGTGGGGAACCATTGCTCCATACACCTGACTTCTCTCTCCCTTTTGTCTTGCAGACTGATGCGTCGAACAGAGGGCTGGGGGCCGTTTTGTCCCAGCAGGTGCAGGGGGTGGACCGCCCGGTCCTCTACATCAGCCGGAAGCTGTCGGAAAGAGAGGCCAGGTACAGTACGGTCGAAAAAGAGTGCCTGGCCATCCGGTGGGCGGTCGACTCCCTGCGGTATTACCTCCTGGGACGCCAGTTCACTCTCTGTTCGGACCACGCCCCGCTGCAGTGGCTCCACCGCATGAAGGATGCCAACGCCCGGATCACTCGGTGGTATCTGGCTCTACAGCCTTTTAACTTCAAGGTGATCCATAGGCCGGGGGCGCAGATGGTCGTGGCGGACTTCCTTTCCCGCCCTCAGGAGGGAGGGGGGGGGGAGTCAGTTCGGCCGGGATGGCTCCTCGGCCTAAAGTCGGGCGGTGGGGGGTATGTGGTGGAGGGGCGTGGTTAGCTCAGCTGCAGGGGGGAGAGCGGGGGAGTGGTTCAGGGGACGGTGCTGGTAGGTGAGGAGTAACCAGGTGTAAATGATCTGCACTGATTGTCTTCTACATAAGCAGTGAGCAGGATCCAGGTCGGGAGATCGTGAGCAGAGCAGAGCGGAGCACGAGAGCTGAGCTGAGCGGAGCCGGACAAAACGAAACCGACCATGCCCATAGAGCGACCTCATTCCTGCTCACTGCCTTCCCCGTTTGGACAATAAAGACTGGTTACCCTCATCCTGTGTCCGTGCGTCTGTATAGAACCCGTCGGTGGTAGCGCTAGCACGGCTACAATGACTGTCATGGCAGTGAATTAGAATATGAGTATTGCTGTGCAGCTGAATGAAAATGAATCTGCGTGTAGTCAACCACTGTTGCTGGCGCACTACCATTGGCCAAATGATTTATTTATATTCATAAAATACCCTTTCTTCTAATGTTACGCTTGCATCACAGACAAATTTCTATCATATTAACGTTCTGTTGCGTCTGCTTTTACTATGAAAATCTAACGTGCGTACTTCTGATTTAACTGCTGCGCTTCGTATTTTGTTTTATGACGTTAGGTAAAGAATGCATGAATTGATTTAACACAGACCTCATACAGCTATACAATTCAACGTCACGTTTGATTGCTATGTTTTGGTCTAGTTTTGTTTTGTAATTAAACCGCTGGCGGTGATGCTAACGTCAGCTGACGTCCTCCAGTCCATTTGAACACACACAAAGTAAATCGTCAGCGACGAATAGCGATGTCCAGATTGCACCTTCTTTCACAGCTGAGAAAAAGTCTGATCCATTTAACTTCTTTAGTTGTGACGCATTTTGTAACGACAATAATCGCTCTGACAGTATATCAGCTGTCAGTCGGTGGGTTAGGGTTCCCAGACAGCACCACCACCATCAAAGTGCTGTTGATCAACATAAAAATAGTCACGGTCTTCACAAAAGCCATGCTCAACTATCCAAGGACCAGAAAGATGCCTGAAGTCAAGTCCGTTGTGGGTGACACTGTGATGCAAGGCTTCTCAGATGTCCTGGAAGTCAAAGGCAAGATCAAGGATCATAGCGCAGAAATGTTTAGTAGAATCATCAATGAAGAGGTTAGAGTCAGAGTCAATTCTAACACCTCTATTGCCTTGCTGTTTGGGGACATGGCTCCACCCACAAGACTCAACCAAATGATTAATCATGCCGCAAAAATGATCAAAAGTTTTACAGTAAAGATGAATCAGAAATTCACAATTCCAGAACGAAGTCAAAGAAACCACTTTCAGAGACAGGCTGGTGTCTGACCTGAGTGGGACAGATGACGAGTCTCCAGGAACCTCAGACGCTGTTGAGAGCCACAAAAACGTCCCATCAGGCAGCCAGACTGATACGGAAAAGCATCCAATCTCCAGAAGCAGTAATTGTGAGGGAGGTGAATGAGACCATGCTTCCTTTCTTAGACGACATGTCAGACGACAGCTCCTTGGAAACAACTGTTCCTCCAAGAACTGCAGGAATCGGAGGGGACAGACAAGAAAGCACAAGGAAGCAGTGTCAAGGGCTTTTTTACACTGCACTGGCTAATCGCATACTGGATCAAATGAAGAGAAAATTCAGGAAGGACTCAGACATGGAATTTAGCCCCGTATTGATGAAGGACGTAGAGGACATCCTCCCCAAGCTGCTGACATTGGATGATGACGAAACACAATTTGGAAAAGAGAAGTGTATGCCTCCAATGTTGAAGGTAATTCAAAAAGCAAATCCCTGGTCATCACACGGGAGCTGACCAACATGATCTTCCAACGGATGATGGGCAGTTTGCCGCCAAAGGACGTCTCAGGACCAAGGAGAAATGAGGGTTCTGACGGCACCATGAACGCACCGTGGGCAAATGCTCACATGTACGATGAGATATGGCACAGCATATGGAACTTTACGGGGCTTTTACGGTGGTGGCTGAAAACTCAGGTCGACCCACTGGGTCAGAGGATGAGAAGTGCTTTAGTAAACATTTTCACACCGGCACCGGCTGTCGACCACCAGAGCAGCATTCCTCTTAAGTCTCCTGCAGGACCTGCACAAGACAACCCAGCGATAGAAAGAGTAAAGGCAGAGATAATCATGGCGACGCTCTTTACACAGTTATTTTAAGAACTGCGAAGGGTGATCAGTAAAGTGAAATCCTGGTCCTCATGCAGGGCCTTGTTGAAAAAACTGTGGAAAGAGTCAACCTGCACTTTGATTTCACAAAAAAAACACATCAATGACCTCAACAAGACTATTCTCAAGAAGATTGGCAATGAAGAAATGGTGCTGAAATTAGGGGATGTCGCAGTAGAAAACTGCATCATCTCTGCCATCAAAGATTACATGACACCAACAGAGCGAAGAAGAAGCTGCATGCGCCGGTTAGTCAGCTGCATGCGCTCAGCCATGAACGTCGCTAGAAAACAGTGACACACTTAAACTAAGGTACGCGCTCAAGGTTATTGGTTTTGGGTTTTCTCCAGGTTCTCCGGTTCGCCCATTGAAAAAAAAAAAAAAAGCTCAATATGTAGCAAAGGTGCACTGTTACGTCCGGCTGCTGTGTTTGTGTTTAAAAAGGGTCACGGTCTTGACAGAAGCCATGCTGAACAATCTAAGTACCAGTAACATGCCTGAAGTCATGGCCGTTGTGGGTGACACTGTGATGCAAGGCTTCAAAGATGACCTGGAAGTCAAAGGCGAGATCAAGGATCATAGCTCAGAAATGTTTAGTAGCATGATCAACGATGTGGTATATTGGATCGAGTACTCGGTGCTCGATTGTGTTTGACTGTCACTACGACGGAGTTCTGTAATTGTTTGTTCATGCCTGACAGTTTTGGGATTTGAGCGCCAGTAAATTACCTAACGTGTACTGCATCCTCGTCTCCGTGCATTTGTATCGATTTAGATAACCCACGTATAGTATACAACTATAACAGTGATTATACATGTAGCATAAAGCCACAACAAATGAAGAGGATAGAAAAGGAAAAAGGGAAAAAGTCAACCTGCACTCAGGACCCAATGACTACAGGCCCGTCGCCCTGACCTCTGTAGTCATGAAGTCTTTTGAACGGCTAGTCCTGACCCACCTGAAGTCCCTCACTGACCCCCTCCTGGACCCCCTGCAGTTAACCTACAGAGCCAAATTGGCAAATTGCCGCAAATTGCCGCAAACCTGAATTCCACGACAATTTACAGTGCCGCATACTGCCGAAAATCCCACTTTTCATGCAGTGCTACGCCAGGATCTTGTTTGTGGACTTCAGCTCTGCCGTCAACACCATCATCCCGTCTCTGCTGCAGGACAAACTCTCCCAGCTGCACGTGCCCGACTCCACCTGCAAGTGGATCACTGACTTCCTGTCTGACAGGAAGCAGCACGTGAAGCCGGGGAAACATGTCTCAGCCTCTCGGACCATCAGCACCGGTTCCCCCCAAGGCTGCGTTCTTTCCCCTCTGCTCTTCTCCCTGTACACCAACAGCTGCACCTCCAGTCACAGCGTGTCATCCGCTCTGCAGAGAGGGTGATCGGCTGCAATCTGCCGTCCCTGCAGGACTTGTTCGCTTCCAGGTCTCTGAAGCGAGCTAAAAAGATCGTAGCCGACCCCTCTCACCTCGGACAAAACCTGTTTGTGCCCCTTCCATCTGGCAGGAGACTAAGACCTCCCACCACACAAACAGTTTCTTCCCGTCTGGGTCGGGCTCATGAACAGAGCCCGGTCCCCCACTGTCTGACTCTGACATTCCACCGGTCACTCCCCTTCATACTGCACATGTCACTTTAACTGTCATTTCTCACTCGTCACTTTGTTGTCACTCGAGGGATCATCGTCAATTGGCCTGGTGGAGGTCACTGAGGTAGTCAAACAACTCCGCAGTGGCAAAGCCCCGGGATTGATGAGATCCGTCCAGAGATGCTAAAAGCAATGGGTGTTGGGGGTTGTCTTGGATGACACGCCTCTTCAACATTGCATGGAAGTCTGGGACAGTGCCAGAAGAGTGGCAGACCGGGGTGGTGGTACCCCTCTTCAAAAAGGGGGACCAGAGAGTGTGTGCCAATTACAGGGGTATCACACTACTCAGCCTCCCGGGTAAAGTCTACTCCAAGGTGCTGGAAAGGAGGGTTCGGCCGATAGTCGAACCAAGGATTGAAGAGGAACAATGCGGTTTTCGTCCTGGTCGTGGAACAACGGACTAGCTCTTCATTACATTACATTACATTACATTACATGTCATTTAGCTGACGCTTTTATCCAAAGCGACGTACAATAAGTGCATTCAACCATAGGGTACAAACTCAGGAGAACAAGAAACAAGAAAGTGCAATTTCCTCAAATAAGCCAATTTACAATTTGCTATAGATGAGTGACGTTACAAGTACAATTTAAGTGCTACAATTTGTTAGTCTTTAGTCGAGGTAGAGTCTGAAGAGGTGTGTCTTTAGTTTGCGACGGAAGATGTGAAGGCTCTCTGCGGTCCTGGTGTCTACAGAGAGCTCGTTCCACCATTTCGGCGAAAGGAGGCAAATTTCCACTCTTTCCAGGATCCTAGAAGGGGCTTGGCAGTATGCTCATCCAGTCTACATGTGTTTTGTGGACTTGGAGAAGGCGTATGACCGGGTCCCCCGGGAGAAACTGTGGGAGGTGCTGCAGGAGTACGGGGTGAGGGTGTCCTTGCTTGGGGCCATCCAATCCTTGTACGCCCAAAGCGAGAGCTGTGTTCGGGTGCTCGGTAGTAAGTCGAAGGCGTTTCCGGTGGGGGTTGGCCTTCGCCAGGGCTGCGCCTTGTCACCAATCTTGTTTGTGGTTTTCATGGACAGGATATCGAGGCGTAGTCGGGGGGAGGAGGGTTTACAGTTCGGGGCGCTGCAGATCTCATTGCTGCTTTTTGCAGATGATGTGGTCCTGATGGCATCTTCCGTCTGTGACCTCCAACTCTCACTGGAGCGTTTCGCAGTCGAGTGTGAAGCGGTCGGGATGAGGATTAGCACCTCTAAATCTGAGGCCATGGTTTCTCCCGCAGGAAACCAATGGATTGCCTACTCCAGGTAGGGAATGTGTCCTTACCCCAAGTGAAGGAGTTCAAGTACCTCGGGGTCTTGTTCACGAGTGAGGGGAAGATGGAGTGTGAGTTTGGCCGGAGAATCGGAGCAGCGGGGGCGGTATTGCACTCGCTTTACCGCACCGTTGTGACGAAAACAGAGCTGAGCCGGA